TTCATGAGGTAGACACATCTATAACTCTATCTGACGGCTGAGTTCTCTCAGCGTTCGTGTGTAGCCAAGGTTTTGTTGTGCTGTCCTGTTTTGTGATGTCTTGACTAGTCGGAGTTTTTTTTCCCACAATGCTAATCAGAGTCACTCAGTTGTAGAGGAAACATCAATACGTACAGGCTTCGGGTCTAGAGAATTGACAGCAAGCTATTAGGAAGTCTTTTCCGATGAGTAGCACTTTTGAAATGAATCTGGGTCTTATGAGAAATAATTAGTTAAACCTCAGACGTGTTTTTTGTTTTCATTTCATTGTCTCTCTAAATATTTCCAAGATAGACTCTAAAACGTTGTCTAATCGCCCATGACCTTATCTCACTGAGCTAAAATAATACGTGCATTTGGCAATGATTTTTTTTTGTAAGTATAAAAAGTTGAATGAAATTAAATTAGCTTGCCTAAAATATATCCCAGCTGCGTTGTATATTTAAACTAGACCGCATTGATTTTTGGAACGCTGCTTCATTTTGCTTTGGAATCCCAACCCCTGTTTCCTAGGTTTTCAATGCGCCTCACATTATCAATATTTCTTACCAATGTTCAATACTCCTCTGATTTTCTTCCCTCTGGTCTTATAGTATTGATATTCTACAACATACCAGACCTATCGTTAACCCTCAGATTTCATAAAAGCATGTACCTGGCATGAAGTAGCTAAAACATTAGACTGCTACTTATTCTAGTGTTGTATGGTCCCTCTAACAAAATTTCGTATTACGTGTCAACTTTTGATGCGCCGTTGACTCCGATTTCAGACTGCTTTCTTGTTGGATTTGCTTCCATAGCCTTTGTACAGCCAAGAACAAACTACAAGGCAGCAGTTGTTTGATTTTGGAGTTGTCTCTCGTAGAAGAGTGGCTGTCCCCAGATATCGAGCCTCATCTGCCCAGTGGTTCAACTGGGACTTTTTATGTTCATCAACCATGAGCTTCACCCACGCTGACCTCCATAAAAAATAGACTATATCTAATCTATGGGTAATCACGTGACTAAAATACACATTTAACCCCCACATTAGCAGCCATCCGTATAATTTATAATGTCCGAATTAATGACATCCACAATTATCTTAACTACACTAGCTATTACAACCATAAAATCTATGTCCTAAGTATCATTTAAAGTGTTTAATAATCATTATAGTTAAGCGACTGTTGACTTTAGCATTAATATCTTTGTTTGAACAACAGGCTAGCAGTTAATGTACTACAATGGCAATGTAACTGTTTATGCATGGCTAAGAAACATTGTCTATCAATGGCCAAGAAATATTGTTAGTCAGTGGCTGAGGAACATTATCTGTCAGTGGTCAAGGAACATTGCCAGTGGCCAAGGAACATTGTCTCTCTGTGGCCAAGAAATATTGTCTGTCAGTGGCCAAGGAACATTGCCAGTGGCCAAGGAACATTGTCTCTCTGTGGCCAAGAAATATTGTCTGTCAGCGGCCAAGACACAGTTTACTGGAATACGCTTCGAATAACACTGTCTGATGTTTTACAAACAATACTGACATTGACACCAAGCAGTACTGACTATTGCTTAAAAATAATAATACAAATGCCAACACAGCACATCAATTGCTGAACACACAGTGTCCAACAATCATGACACACCAACCTTGACCCTCGTCAACATATCTTCAATGTCCAACAACCAATACACACAGTTCAACATTGGTCAACAACATCCCCCCCCCCCACACCCAGCCTCCCCCTCCCCCATAACCGCTTGTCCCCAGACGACACTTATCGTCTGATCACCCACTGATTCCTCATTTTCTTTCAACTCTCCTGGCAATATTCACCCCCAGCCCCGGGGCCTGTCCCACTTTAGGTCCCCCAACTCGCCCGACCCTATCTGATTTTAGATGGTAGGGGTGGGGGGGGGGAGGGAAACGTGATTATTATTTTCACTCGTCTAGGTATTATTTTGTGGACTCTGGAAATCTTATGCTAATATCGAAAGGTTGGAGATTTTCTGGCATCCACTTAAGACTGAAGTCGGCGGTAATGAAGACTAAAAATAGCTCGGCCTTGAACTTTTCTAATTTCGTGGTGGCGATGAAAAGCGTAATGTTCGTTTTTGTTTTTGTACGGGAAGTTTTTGTTGTTACTACTGACGCCTTGTTTTACTTTACAGTTTTCCCTTATTCCGTCTCTCTCTCTCTCTCTCTCGCTCTCTATTTCTTAATAATATTATGTGATATTTCGATCACTCGCGCAGCTAGGGGGGGGGGGGGGGGGGGTTAGGATTCAATGTTAGTATATTGAATTAGTAATGTATATACACTTTTAGAAAATGTATTTTTCGTGTCTGGTTGTGTTATTGTTTATGACTAGACTATTGGTTATTGGTCTAGATTTGGAGACATCGGTCTAGGTTTTTCGTTGTGGTTCTTTATCTAGATTCGTATATATAGCTATTTGTTTTGGATTCTTTGTGGTCCTTTGTCTAGATTTTTGGTTCTTTGTATAGATTTGTGGTTCTTTGTCTAGATTTGTGGTTCTTTGTATAGATTAGTGGTTCTTTGTATAGAATAGTGGCTATAGCCTTTTGATTTTGATTTCTTATTGGGACTAGATTTGTTTTTCATTTTCTAGATTTGTGGTTCTTTAACTAGCTTTGTAGCTATAGCCATTAGTTTGGTTTCTACTTGGGTCTCGAGTTGTGGTTATCTTTCTTGGTATAGGTTTGTGGTTATCTTTCTTGGTCTAGGTTTGTGGTCTACCATTCATGTGACCCGGCTACAAAATAGGCTTCATTAATTAGATTAGTCATAAATATCTCATCCTGTAGGTATGAAAAGCCGCAGTGCTGACTGTGGGAATTAGCTGATCTTTATTAATTAGCATTGATTGCTCATGTAATCAGCCACCATGAGCGTTGAGCACCGCTGTGCGTGAGCAGCTAATTGTCGCGTGGGATGACGTACTCAACATTTACTCACACATTTTCATGTACTGTTTCTCCTATGAAATAGCTCCACCTAGTTATTTAGTGCTTGTTTAAACGCAGCAAGGCACTTCAAGAAAAAAAATTATAACTCGGGTAAAAGTTAACCTTCCTTAAACCTAAACCAGTGTTAGCAGTGGTGCAGTTCCCTAAATACGTCATCTAACCCAATCTATGTTTGGTTAAAATATCCAGGTCAACATCTGCAGCACATGCAAGCATTAAAATCTGCCTTTACCTGCACACATATTCCATTAATATCGTTTTTACAGGAAAATTGTTTTATAGCCGCTTAATTACTTGTGCAAATAATCTATTACATGCGTGCCTCCTTAAAACAATTACTTTCTTGTGTATACATTCAAGTACACCTAGGTCTTACTCTATGAGAGTTATTGCGTGTGTAAATATTATGGTAGGTATCTGAACTGTCTTCGAACAGCATTATTTATTTTTTGTGATAAATGTCCTAGTACACATACCGCCTATTAAATAGCTTTCTACTTGTTTAAATATTCTACTAAGTTCAATCCTTTCTATATTTTTTTAATTGTGCCAACCTTCTAGTAATACAATTTACTAAATCGAGGGGACAGTCTATTCAAGATTTGTTTTACCGAAAGTTTACCGATAAATAAATGTGCTAATACAATAACAGCACTAAACGTTTACAGATTTTTTTAAAAAAATGTGCTAATAATATCACGAAACGTTTAATGATTTTTAAAAAAATGTGCTAATAGAATACAGCACTAAACGTTTATTGTTTAAAAAATATGCTAATACAATAACAGCACTAAACGTTGATTGTTTAAAAAATGTGCAACCTCTGATGCCTTAGTTTGATGCACGTAAACCTACGTGGACTGTTCATCCTCAGGTGATCAAAGGATAATTAACCTCATTATGCCGTCTTCATTTAACCAAGTTAATTCTAAGGGGGACGGGGGGTAGTATGGAGGCGATACGGCGGCAAAGTTTGAATACCGGGAAATAAATACCGCAACAAAAATTAACATCGGGGGAAAAATTACCGGGGAAATATCCACAGCGTTTAACTCACCGGGACAAATTTACCAGAAATCATAACATGACACAACAATTAAAACATTGGTGAGAGTATATCGAAACAGTTCTGGGACCAGGAAATCAACGACATTTATTGACATTTTCTTTGGTGACAGTACGGTATACTATAACTAAAAAAAACATTTCACCATATACATTAACAGAAGCACAATTACTCACCTCATACTCTTGCACACTACCGCATATCACCACAAATAGTGCGAATACCACATACTAAATCATTTCGTTACACATACAAATCAATATACATTCACCGCATAGGCCTACAATCGCAATACAATATAGAAAACAAATCAATGCTTTTTCCCATCAACATTCAGGAAACCTCACAGATTCGCTTAAGATATATAAAACAATTTCCCCCACGTAAATACAATGTTTATTCTCCAAAAACAAAAAACAACAACCACATCTAACATTACATACGATAATCTCTCTTACAATGCTTAATGTCTAGGCTAATTAACCTGTTCTGCTAATTAATGTGTAGTTCCATGTAATTAAACCTACCTGTCTCTCTCCTCTCCAGGTAGCCATGCCAGGAGCCAAGCCCCCCTGGACATGCATTCCCCGCCCAAATTTTTACCTGGAAACAAAAACTACACCTATAAGGTGGGACAGGTCGCTGAACTCGAGTGCCCCGTCACAAACCTGGGCAATAAACAGGTAGGTCTTTTTAGGTCATTTTTTAGGTCATTTTTAGGTCATTTTTGGATAACAATACTTGTACATTGGATGTCAATTTTAGTTCAATTTATGGTCGATTTAATATCTTAACTGTGTTTTTGTTTGTAGGTTGATATCTGGCGCAGTGAAGGGGGGGGGGGGCGGGGGGGTTGATATCCGGGTACTCAAGTTTGAATAATTCCCGCACCTCACATTGAGGCATACACACAAGTACGTTAATGCCAAGGTCAAGACGATCACATGATCTCTGGGGCACTAAATAGCTAGGTATATCCTCGATATAAAGTAAATTTGCTTCCATGATATAAAGTATATCAATTCCCCTCATATAAAGTATATCCCCTTCCATGATATAAAGTATATCTACTCCCCTGATATAAAGTATATCTACTCCCCTAATATAAAGTCTATCTACTCCCCTATTCGTTGAAAGAGAACAGCTGAAAAACGTGAGCGATTAGTATTTTAATCAATTAACGAAATTAAAAAAAAGTGTTTTAATTAAAGGGTTGGTTATGTGGGTTATCAATAAAAATGATTAATTACAAAACATTACTTTTTTAGTGTAGCGAATAGACACTAATAGACCAGACACTTTAGTAGTTATACAAAGCTGTAGACACTCCATAAACATAATAACTGACACCTTAGTGGAGCTGATAAATACACCTGACATCAGCTAACTGTCACTCCAGAACAACTGACATCAGGCACTCCAATCACACTGACTACTGACACACATCACAATTAATAAACTTGTTGTCAGAATACGAAATACATTTTTTTTTTATTAAAGGACGAAGATTTGTATAAAAAGTTGAATTGTGTTTTAAATATATGAATAATTCATGCCTCATAAATCATTTTAGAGTTGTTGTGATAAATTGTAAAATAAATAATGTGCAATTATTTTGTTTTCATTTTTTATGAGAAAGATCCAACCTTCCTATTGTTCTGTGGTTGCCAGATAAATTTAATCAGCATCAGAAATCTAATGCTAGTTTAACAATTTTTAACAATTAACACATTTTTCGTTTTTGTTTGTTTAAACATCCGTTTGTTTCCTTAATAGTTTCTTTTTATCATCACATATTCATGTGTGACACATACAATACACATAAAACACTACTGCACGACAATGAACTATCGCATCTGACCTTTGATTTACTGCACCTGTTGACCTCTGACCGACTTCACATTTTTACCCCTGACCCACTAACCCTTTGAACTCTGACCACAACACTTGTTGCCTTTTGACCCTCTTCACACATATTAACATCTCACCCACTAACCTGTTAATATCTGACCCACTAACCTCTTTACCTCTGACCCACTAAACTATTGACCTCTTCTTCTTCTTCTTCGTTCTTAATTTTTTTGTGTTTGGAGGGATCGAGCCTTATCTGCCAGAGGGTTTGAACTCGAAACTTTTTTCGAATTTATTAACCATGAGCTTTGCTGACTCGACCATGCTTCCATCACAATTAAGGATTACGTGTCAACTGGTTATGCGCCATTGAGGCCATTGACTCCGATTTCAGCCTGCTTTTCTTTTTGGATTTGCTTGCATAGCCTTTGTCCAACCAAGAACAATCTACAAGGCAGCAGTTGCTGATTTTGGAGTTGTCTCTCCTAGAAGAGTGGTTTTCCCCAGCTAACGAGCCTCATCTGCCCGAGGGTTCGAACTCGAGACTTTTCGGTTTAGCAACCATGAGCTTTACCGACTCGACCACGCCGACCCCCTTATTGACCTCTGACTTACAACATCCTTTGACCTCTTACCCCGTGTCCCCAGGTCGTTTGGCGTTTAGCCTCCAACGATACCATCTTCACCATCGGCTACCAGAAGTTCCACGAGGACCCGCGCTATGAGGCCAAGATGAGCAACGGCGTGTGGGTGCTGGTCATTCACGACGTGCAGGTTAAGGACATGGGCATGTACGAGTGCCAGGTCAGCTCGGTGGAGAAACACCTGCGCTATTACGTCACACTCATTGTTACAGGTAAATGATTAGAATTATGTTGAGTACAGTTAAATTAGAGGTGTAGGCCCTATTTATACACACACACACACACACACACACACATATATATATATATATATATATATATATATATATATATATATATATATATATATATATATATATATATATGTGTGTGTGTGTGTGTGTGTGTGCGTTTTATATTTTATTCCTATTTCATGTTTAGTATAAATAAGAATACAAAAGTATTTTGGAAAGTAATTACAGTTGTTTTTTCACAATAAAACATAAGACAAGATGTTTGGGAGTTATAGGGTTAAAAATTAGAATAGTTTTGTTATAGTTCAGGTAGGTTGATATCTAATGTAGGTGTGTTATGGTACCGTTGAGTGCATTAACAATTTGTTATAGGTTTACATAATTAATTTTCAATAAAAATTACTTGATACAGTGACATTATTACGACTGAATTAAGAGTACGTCAAACTGTGATAGATGTTAGTGTAACTACGAAAAAAATAGCTATTTTAAAAATACCGTAACAATTACTTAAATAGGGACAGTTTCTAATGCAGTAACAAAACAGTGACATAGTTGCTAGTACAGTAACAATACGGACATATTAAAGAGAGAAGTAATTATACCACATAACTGCTGTTGTAGTTGTAGGAAACTAGCTATTTTCTAGTACATACATAATGCATTAAATGTCTAGTTCAGTAAAATAAAAGAACAAAATGATAACATTAATGCGTGCCGTAATAAAGCACATCAATTTGACAAAGTGTGAGCTGAAGTGTGCAACCAACCCTTTGAACTAACATTAATGATCTAGTTTTAATTAATGTAGTTTTAATTAGCTGCCGTCGTTTGATGTATTGTAGTACTGTCACGCTTAAAACAGCATAGGATGTCGTTATGTTACCAGTACTTAGGCATACCATAAAGGTTAGGTTACCAAAAGTGTATACACATTTCTGTAACATCAGAAAAATTATCTATAAATCCCATTTAGTTGACATTCGTAAAAGAAAAATAAAAAAAAAGAGTTTTAAAAGTGAATTTTGGACAATTTTTAGAGAACATTATTATATTTCACGTGGCTAATTATTTCCCTTGGGAAAATATTTTTTATCGGTGTTATTTCCCTTGATGAACTAATATAAAAAAATGTTCTAATTAGAATTAATTTATTCTACCTGCTCATGACTTCTTTGTTCTACAAATAAATAAACTGTCTTGTGAAGTCTGGACGGAAAAAAAAAATAAATGGGGCCAATGCATGGTGAAATAAACTAGGGTTTTTAAATCTTGTTTTCATGAAATCACATCAAATTCACATTAAAGCCAATAACCGACATATTTCCTCATATCCCATGGTTATATAATGTGGTTTTCAATACACGTATTCTAAATATATATTATGAAAATATTTTTTTCCGAAATCAGGTAACGTCTTTACCTGTCTAGGCTGGCTATCTAGTAACGTCCACACTAGCCCAAGAATAAACCACTTTTGGTTGGTTTGGTCTAGTCCAGCATTTATTTAGCCCCATCCCCCCCCTCCCCGCTCTTTGAATGATGCAATCAGATTGTCGTCAACTTGTCGTTTCTCTAATTAAAACTTCTAATTAAAATATTCTAACGCTTTTTAAATCTTGATTTTTAAGTTTCAGACCCTAAAATATTTGTAAAAAAAATCTGTAATTATATTTAGAATTAGAATATTGTAATTCTTTAGCTTCGATATTTCACAGTCCAGATACAATTTTAAAATAGGCAAATGAGATATTAATTACATATTAATTAGGACAGATATAGCCGTGGTTCAAACTAGTCAAGGGTACTTTAAAATCAACATAGAATTTGCATACATAATGTTTCGAATACACCCACAACAAGCAAGTTGTGATCCCCACTTCCACCCCCCCCCCCCCACACACACAGTCATGTTGCCAGCAATGTTTATAAATATAATTTCTGTTAAATTATTCTGTAACTCATCTCCCTATTGAAGGTATAGAACCATGGAATCCTATGCAATGTTTTCAAGGCCTACCAATATAGTTAGCTACTTTCAAATTTGGTTCATTGAGAATTATTATCTGATTCTTGTTTTTTCTAGATCTCTTGATATTTTGATTATATATATATATATATATATATATATATATATATATATATATATATATATATATATATATATATATATATATATATATAAGCGCTTCTGTCTGTTTGGCAGTATTGTAGTATTTTCACACTACTAATTTATCTGAATAAAAATAGAGATCGGCGCTACCTATGTTAACTTGAGTGATCTCCCCTCTATTCTTGGTAATGTGACACATCTTCCCTCTTGTTGGAAATTAATGTGATCTCCCCTCTATACTAGGTTACTTGGGTGATCTCCCCTCTGCACTTTGTAACGTGACACATCTTTTACGGTGATCTCCCCTCTATACTAGATCACGTAGGTAATCACCCTTCTATTCTAGGTAACTTGGGTGATCTCCCTTTGTACTTGGTAACGAGTGATCTTCCCTTTACCCTACGAACTCTATCACTTTTAGTGAAATGCGCACTGCCTACCTTGAATGAGCTGCACATTTTCTTCGTTATTGTGACGCATGTCAAGCCACCCCTCCCCCTCAATTCGTCCATTAGAAACAGCTATCGTATCTCCCTTAACAGACTGAGTCTACGGGTGAAATCCCGACAAGGGCAGGTCAGCCTTCTCTCACACAGCCTGTCAGCTTTTCTTAAAGATTTCCAGGTTATTATTCGAAATAAAAATAGCTTTGTTCGTTTTTGAAGACATTTCATGATTAAAATAAGGGGTTTTGTTTTTTTCTGCTTTTCGATGCTTCACTGCTGCTAAATCTTGTGCAAAACTTAAAAAAAAAAATTTGTTTTTTTGTTTTTTACATTTAATATCTACGTCGATGTATTAAACTTATAATTAGAACACCCCATTTACCTAGGTTAACCTTATTGCGCGTATGCTTTGTTCTGAGTTGAAAGAAATTTTAGTTTTAATCAGGTATGGTTAGGAAAATTGGGGGATGGGAGGGGGACTTGCATGGCATTGATTTCGCTAGGCGTGGGAGTAATTTGCGTGTTGAAAAGTAATTTAACGACCGCATTAAATTAGAAACTGTACACTCATTAATGTGTACACACTGTTTCAGAGGTTTTGTAATAAGCTGCTAGGAGAGTTTAGATGGGCGAGGTCATTAGTCAGTTATTTGTAGTTCAGATAGTTGAAGGTTAAAGAATATCGGACAAGGCCATTATAGCAGTTTGACAAATACCTTGGTCAGATACTTGTTGTTCATATAGTTGAAACTTAAAGATGTAGAATGTTGGAATAGGCCCATATAGCAGTTTGACGAATACATTTGTCAGTTACTTGTTGTTCAGATAGATAAAGCTGTAGAGTGTAGAACAATGCCGTTCGATCAGTAAAGCAATCGCTATCATTGAACTAGACAGAAAATCATTCGACATTACTACTTACATTTATCATTTTTTTAAAAATAAAATTTTAAAAAGTACAAATTGCCTAAAATCTATACTTCTAACCATGGTTTGACATATAATACTTTTGAATCATTTGAATACATGTTGTCAAAGAAATGTTGCTATATTTAAAACACCGGCAGTACAACGCGGTGAAGAATCAAACGTGTTTCACCTACTGTATTGCAAGAAGTTTTGATCAGGAGTGGGATTAGGCTTAGTGTCAGGATTAGATTAAATGACATGTAAGTTTAATCCCCGGATTATAGTTAGGGTAACAATATTAGTAAAACAATATTATGTGATTTAGTCGTTTCAGACAAAAATAAATACAGTATGCAGATTGTATCCCAACGTAGATACTAGCGTACGTTGCAAAATAGTAAATAAAAAAAAAATAAACAACACTTTAGTTAATAGAAGTACAATGATAATTTTAGAGTTATTCACGCTCTTTGTTTCTGGTGTTATGTTTGGCGTTATAAGTTAATACAGGAAAAGAAAATAAATTACAACTCGCATAAATAAAACGCCTAAAGTAAGCGATTTTCCGAATCGCACTCACGTGTAGGTCAAGGCCGTTGTAGGGCTGTGACAAGAGGCCAGTGAATATGATGAGATGGCATCATCGCATGCACCCAAATGTCAGTGTCATGTCATTTGCGAAGGTGACATTTGATCTGACATTTGGACAATGATATTCAGAAATGGCCCTTTCACAGAGACAATTAGCATTTCTATTTACCGGGAAGATGAAATAATGTAGAGCCTCTGGTGGGTTCGCTCTTCACAAACAACACAACGGCCGGGGTAAATAAATGTCTGATAGAATTCCGGCACCGGCCGTGCGGTCACGTGGTTTTTATGCCCCGGTGATCGGAATTGATGTGCCCTTTGTTCTAAGGGATTTACATTTTCTAGTTATCTAACGGAAAAAATAATTGGATAACTCGTTGCACTAGGAGTTCGATGACGTAGTTTCTGAGGTCAAAGTTGAAAAACTCTCGCACTGTTAAGTTAGTCTTACAACGCTGATGACGTCAATGTCGTAAGGGTCACTTAAATATATTAAACATGACGTCACTATCCTTAAAAGTGACATCACTATCTTAACATAACGTAAGATTAAATAAGTGACATGGACGTTTGTTTCTTGTAATTTGAAAAATTGTTTGAAGTAACTCCACAAAAAATGTCAAGTTACGTAATGATAAATATCATTAGTGTTAAGCTATTGGACCACATGAACACTTTTAGTAATGAACTCAATGGTTGTTTTCTAAATATAAGATGAAATTATATAAGATGATATAAGAAATAAGGGACGGCGTGGCCTAGTTAGTCCTTCCAACCCGAAAGTCTCGTGTTTAAATCCCGGTTAAAACAGTAATACGTCCCTGAATCAACCCAGTTATGATGGGTACCTAACTCAGGTTAGGGAATACAAAGGCAGTTGGGCATAGAGCTGACCCCACTATCTCTTCATAAGCCAAAAT